CATGTTGGTACATGGGGTAGCACGTGGGCACCTGGGTGTAAACTTCCGTTATTCATCTTTACTTTGTCTTACTTGTAAAGATTCAAAGAGCTTTAAATCAACAGTTTCGTTGGGCAGATATGCCTGTCTCTCCAAGGCATGACACCCCCATGCCCAAACCAGAAAAATCTTTGTGTTCGAAGGTAGAAGTTATTTCATTAACCGGAAAAGAGTGAGAATCCTTCTCGGAGCCTTCTTGGAAACTCGATTTATCATCACACACACAAGGCTGAGATTTGTGGATTGTGGTTCAAAGCCTGCCTGAGCAGGAAACTCTGTGAAGCTCTTATCTCCACTTAAATAATAATAACCATTTAAATAATAAAAACCATTTAACAATAATAATAGCTCTGTCTCAAGTGGCAGCATGCTAACCTTGAGCAAAATAAAAATGCTAAGGGACAGTGCCCAGGCCCTAAGTTTAAGCCGCTCCAATACTGGCACACACACATACACACCCAACTTCAGGTGGACTATTAGAAACAAATAGTATGATTCGACTTAGCCCCCTCAGATTTACCTGGACTCTGCAGTATGGCCATACACATAGGCTGGCCCAAGTCTTCAAGATGCCCTGGTCTTTAATTGACTTCTCAACCAAGCATCTGCCTTGAGACAAAGCCTCAAGGGGTCTAAAGAAGATTATTTGTAGGAAAATAATCAATGCTGTTTTAACTTCACAGGAAAACAAATTTTCATGGAAGAAGACACACACACACACACACACACACACACACATTAATTCCTGGGCTATTCTTCTGGAGACTGGTGTGAAATAAGAATTTGAAAGAGCTCGTCTTAAGTCTGACTGGAGGAGAATTCAGGGAAAACAGCAGCCCCAAAGAAAGCCATTTTGAAACCTCTTCTCTAGAGGCCCAGCTTGGAATGCATGTGTGATGGGGGATGGAGAAGAGGGAAGAAGAGGGAGTCAGCAAATGTCATAATTTATCAAAGCAAATTAATACTCTTCAGCTAGTAATTAAAGGTCCTCATTAAGCAGCTCTCCCCACCTCCCCCCCCACACCCTGCGTGAGCAATAAAAATGCATGGGGGCATGCAAAGGTCGCCTACAAAAATCAATAACTTGCCATTTTATAATTAAAAGAGAAAATAAATGTGAGGGAAAAGTCCACTAAATTAGGAAAATTACCTTTAGGAGAGATTGAAAATATTGATTTTAATTTACAAAATATGTGAACTTTTCATGCCCCGTTCGGAGAGACAATCGGGGTCTGGGTGGTTAATTTTGCATAAGCTTCAGAAAAAAATCAATAATTAGGTTGTGGGAATATTATGAAATTTGTCATTAACATACCATCTTCTATATAGAAATGAGCCATACGTCTAGCTTTTCTATCTTGGACAGATTCGGGGTTGGCCTACAAAATATCCAAAGCAAATCAAATGACAAGTTCTTCGTTTCAGCTTTAAGACAGACTTCACAATTGCAAGATAAATCCAGACTTTTTAAAAAAGTATGTAGCTAGGGGAACTTAAACTGCTACTTAAACTTTCAGTCCTGGGTATATAAATGCATACATAGTATTAATAATTATGCCCAAGAATACAAGTGGATAAACTGCTAGTCATCTTCTTAACTTTGCCTATAACTTTGCATACATACAGGGGCCGGAAGCAGTTGATTGGAGCTGGCTGGATTCTTAAGTGTTTGTGGATTAGCGAATATCTCAGAGAAATTGCTGGGGCATGAGGAAATGGCGGTGACATTTCCCTACCTGTCTGATTATCATGGCATCTGCCTAACTCCACGTACAAATGCTGAGGTGGAAGAGGAGCATCTGGTTAACTGGGATAATCCAAATATAGGCAACATAAAGCACAGATATACAGGTTTTGTGAATAATACTTCCTCTCCTTCCTTCCTTCCTTCTTTCCTTCCTTCCTGCCTTCCTTTCTTCCTGCCTTCCTTCCTTCCTTCCTTCCTTCCTCCAGTCGTGGGGCCTGAACTCAGGGCCTGGGCGCTATCCCCCAGCTCTTTCACTCAAGGCTGGTGCTCTACCACTTTGAGCCACAGCGCCACTTCTGGTTTTCTGGTGGTTCACTGGAGATAAGAGTCTCATGGACTTTCCTGCCTGGGGCTGGCTTCGAACTGTGATCCTCAGATCTCAGCCTCCTGAGTAGCTAGGATTATAGGCATGATCCACTGGCACCCAGCTCTCTCACCTTAGAAAAGTTGTTTTTAACAACTTGAATTCATTAGAATAGCTCATAGGGATGACTTTTGGTTATTCAGGCTCCTTAAAATTTCTCCAGACACAACTAATTATGACACCCGACTTTCTGTAGTGATGGTAACTTGTTTGAGTTGAACATGTGACCACAGGACACGGCTGAGAGGAATTATGACTCAATATCTCCCTCTCTTTTCTATAAATATATATATTTATAAAAATATAACTCAGGCTCAGAGATAAGCAAAACAGGATTTCCACATCTGTCCTGCTTCTGACCAACTGTGTAATCACAAACCCCTGGCTCAACCTTTTACTTTTGTACCTTTGTTTCTTCGCCTGTACCATTGCCAGGAGGACTGAACTCATTTAGCTAAAGTGCTTAGCAAGGTGCCTAAGTCTTCACTGCAACATTACCTTCCTAATTTACTCTCCACCTGCAGCCCGCGGCCCCCACGGCTGACACCAAGCCCTGGGCTAATTTGAGTCGCCGTTCTGATGCTCTACAAGGAATGCAGATCCATTTATTCCCCTGTAAGTCAGACCTATTCAACACCCGCAAACATACGCATGACATAGTTGGTATTTCTCCGGGTAACAGAGCCAAGAATGAATAGCAGCAGCCTCGCTGCACGAGACTGGGAAAACGATAGGATTCTCCCTCACGACTCCCACAAGGCAGACTTCCTGCTGCTTCTCCTTGCCCTCAGGATTCTGGGGAGCAAAGCTGCACACAGCAGCTCGGGAACCCCCGTCCTCCCCACACGCACACATGGGGAGACCTGGCACCTCCTCGGGCCAGCTGTTCCCTGGGGACAGCATCTGCAGAATCAGATTCTAACTTCACCACTGCACTCTAGGAGGACTCTTATGTCTCTTCAGCTTTGGACAAATGCAGCCCACCGATACCCAGTGCCCCGTGGACAGACAGACAACCGGGCCCTGATCCCAGAAAATCACCCCTGGAGTGGACACGCGAAGAACTACAAACCTAGCCTTCTCACGAGTTACAAGAAGAAAAAAGAAAAAAGAAGCAGCCTCCGCCTCTATGTCGAAGTTGATGCTCGGACCCGACACGAATTGGCTCTCCTCTAGTCCTCCCCCGCCCCCCACCGTCTCCCCAAAGTGGGGCGTGAACTTTCTCATTTTTATGTCCCAAACATTGTACTTAGTGTTCTGTAGGCACCCAAGTCCTCCTATATATTAATCCCTTGAGTTCTAATAAATACCTGGGAGGAAACTGAGGCACAGAGAGTTTAGGTGACTTTGTCTAGAGCACAGTGCTGGCTAGGAAGGGAGTCGGGGTTCAAGACAGGGCTGTCTGGGTGCGGTTCCCCCATTGCTCACCTTGCTGTGTGTCCTCACACGAGGTGGACAATCAGGGAGAGTCTCACAGCTGAGCTCTCCTTCCCCTGTGTGAACGCAGCTCCACAGCAGTGGCGCCATCTTGGATTTCATCTAAGACTTGGTGAAGATGAGCTTACTCACACGCTGACTTCCTCACATCTTGAATTCAGGTTCACACGCTCTCCTACCCACATTTACCCAACTTGTATTATTATTTGGGCTTGAACCCAGGGGCTCTTGCATGCTAGGTAGATAACGCTAGCTCTTGGGGCTACACCCCCATGCCTTTTTGCTTTATTATTATTTTTTTTCAAATAGGGTCTGATGTTTTGGACTGGGCTAGCCTTGGGCTTCAATCTTCCTATTTCTACCTCCTGAGTTACTGAAATGATGGGCATGACCATCATACCCACCTTGTTTGGTCAGACAATCTTGCTAGCTTTTGCCCAGGCTATACTCAAACCATGATCAGTCCATCTCGGCTTCCCATGTGGCTGGGATTACAAGTAGACCAAGCCACGTCCACCCTCCAAATATTCAGTTTTTGCAAATTGGATTTTGGGCTGTTTTATCTGTCCCTTTCTCTTCTTCCGGGGGTGATGCTTTGTCTCAGGGAAAAGACAGGAGTGTAGCACTCCAGGAGGACAGCTTAGCATCCCGAGATCACTTACTGAGGAGTGCGGAATGAACTAGTTAAGATTCTTCCCTCCCTTCACGGGCTAAGTCTGCTGCCGGGGCTGTAGGTATTGGGAGCAGCCTGACCCTGAGCTTGGAGACCTCAGGCAACGGGGAGAGTCAAGCCCTGCTCAACAGGACTGGGAATCTCAGCCACTGCTGCCTCCAGATTCTCCTCTCCCTGATCTGTTAGCTGAGTTGTTTTGTTTTCCCCTAAGAGGGTTGATTTCCCAACAAGGCGCAGAGAGAGACAAATCCTCAAAGCAAAGCAGAGAGAAGTGAACTTGCTAAGGGAAATGGTTTCACAGAGCCAAGAAAGACCACTTTTGAATGTCTTTTTTTAATTTTTTCCTCCTTCTAGTTTTCAAAATCATTCTTGGTTTGGCCGAATCATGGCCACGTGATCGGAGGCCTTCGCCAGCTCTCTGCTTTGCTCGGGAAGAGGGGAAAAGGCAACCCCACGTGGAAATGCGTAACGAAAGACACATGCAGGCACACGAAGTTCAATGGGCGCAGACTATCCCCTCCATTGCATTCAACAAAGCCGGGTGCTTTCCTTTAGGGCAAAGCCACTGTGGAGCGTTGGTTGTGAGAACAGGGATCCATGCTCACCCCACAGTGGAATGGCTCTCTCATCTACTAACTGGCTTTAAATACCCTTGTCTTTGCCCCAAAGAAACCACCCAGACAGGCAAAGCACATTTAGCAAAGACTAGCATTCCTGCATGCAGAGAGCAAATTCCTTACCTGCATAGAATTCAGGGCTGTAGACTGCACCCACCACGGGATTCAATTTCCAGCCTTCAATCAAACACACAGAAGCATTGTCATCAGCTTTGATGCAAACATTTATCCCTGTCAAACCACCATCATCCAGAGAGATGGGTTGAAGTATTATTTTTTCAAGTCTTTTAAATTTTTTTTTTGGCCTGTTGGTCATGGGGCTTGAACTCAGGGCCTGAGGTATCCTTGAGCTTTTGCAACCAAGGCTAGTGCTTTACCACTTTGAGCCACGGCTCCACTTCCGGTTTTCTGGTGGTCAATCAGAGATAAGAGTCTCACAGACTTTCCTGCCCAGGCTGGCTTCAAACTGTGATCTTCAGATCTCAGCCTCCTAAAGAGCTCGGATTATAGGCACAAGCCACTGGCATGTGGCAAGTCCATCTATTTTAGAAGCATTGTTTTGTAGTGCCAGAACTTGAACCCAGGGCCTCTCGTAAGTGTCTCGTAAGTGTAATTTAAGTGCACTAGTCTATCTGTCTATTTACCTGTCTGCCTAGCTATTTATCTCTGGATATATATATCTATCTATATATATATGGATATATATATCCATGTATATGCACACATACACATTTTATACATATTACTAAAGTTAAAAGACACATAGATTGAGCATTGCATGCATAAAAATATTCAGAAACTATATGTAAAAAATAGATTCTTGCTCCTCTTTGATTTTTCTCTCAAGGCAAGCTAATGGAAAGGATCCACTGATTAGGTACAGGTAAGCCTTTTAAAATGACGTAATTAATCTCCTACCGTAGCAATCGTTTTAGAACCGCTATAATAATTTCAGTTGTGTCTTCTTTCACACGTCACCGCGCGATAATCCATCACAAGTCTTTTGCATTAAATTTATACAAATTTGGAAACTTGCACAAACAAAACTCCTTGCTGAAGTTCACTGTACCTATTATCTTTCCTAATGATTACTCCGAGATACGGGGGAATTCTGAACTGCTGTTTGAATACTAAAGAAAATGGTTTTTTTGTTTTTTTAATCCCCTGGAGATTTAGCATGGAATACATTTTAATGCATCCAGGGACCATAAAAATCCTTAATCAATGCATGATATCTAAGGTAACTTTCAAGTAATCAGCCTATGAGATTAACAGTCTGTGATTCTCCCAAATAGAAGATGGAAAAAGTTTCTTTAAAGTGGCTCATGGCTCTGACACAGGAAGAGAGCACGTAAGAGTGTTCACGAACAGGGAAACCCATCACAAGATGGGAAAACCATTTTTAAGGAATGATGGAGTCTGAAGATCTATGGCTGTTTTCCCTCCCAGATGCTGAGGAAGCTTTATGGTACTGCTCATTATGGAAGTCGTGAACATCACAGTGGGGTAGGGCTCCTATTTAGCCCTTGTATCCTTGGGCCGAGGGCCAAATATCAAAATGTCCTTTGATGAATGTTCTGGAGAAAAGACGTGGGTCCACGTTCGCGTGAGTCACAGAACGCCTCCCACAGTGAGGACCCAGCTTCACCGTGTGGGCCAGGTATGGCTTCCTAAATCCTGTTCTTCTGAGAACAGCAAAGAGGAACCCAGAGACATAATGTCCCAAGAGGCTATTTTGCTTCATGTAGACATCTCCTTTAGCACACCTCCTTTTGTAATATAAACCTGGGGCACGGTGTTCTCCAAATGGGGACCTCTTAATGACGTGTTAATGATCATGGTAGGCCTATTAGCCTAGAAGCATTTCTAAGAAGAGCCTATGACTGTAGAGCTCACATTTGCCTTGTTTGTTTATATTCCTTGTTTGTTCTGGACCAAGCAATCCGTGTATGTCTGTATAGCATCTCCTGGCCTTCCCCCTCCCCTCCTTTCCCCATCTCTATCCATCTACCCTCCTATCCATCTACCTATCTACGAATCATTCTACTTTGGTCTCTGATTTCTTCGCAGAACCTGTCTCTTTCATTCCTTCTCTTAGTCGTCTTTGGTTCAATTCCCAGCTCTATTTTCGTGAACGTGACCTGTGAACTCCGCTCCAGCGTGAATCCCCCGCACCTGAAATGGTGCTCTCTATCAACACTGACTCGCTTCTGTTCTTAAAAAGCAGAAAACAAAACCTAAACCAAAAGGAGCACAGAGCGTTTCCTGTGGAATGTTGTCTGGCTAGGATTCTGCTCCTTCCCCTCTCTGAGGAAGCTCAGTCCTGACCCACAGATGCTCGGCATCCAACGCAGGATTCTGCTCCGAGAGTCTGTCTTCCACCGAAGGCAATGAGAAGCTAGCCCTTGAAAATCACCTCTGCTCAAGGCTTGCTCGGGCTTACGCAAATGGCATGCAAATGACATGCAAATGGGCACCTCACTTTTGTGACTCCTAGAAGTACCTGGAAGAGCCCCTTGGGATGAGCCTGCTGAGGGCTGAGCCTGCCATTGTCAGGAAGATGGACAAAATGATCCCATTTTTTAATTTCTTAGGCAGTGAGCGTTACATCCCCAGGCTTTGCAAATTCCAAGATTTTCGATCAAGGACATTAAATTGAACAATGAGGCTTACAACCGAATGAGAAAAGCTGATAGAGCCCATCACTCCCAGCCCCCTTCCCCACCCCCCACCCCCTGTCTCCCCATGAAGGCAATGGTGCAAAGCCCAGACATGCACATGGGATCTTGCTCGATATCAGATGCACAGCAGTTCAGAGACCCCTCGGAGGCTGGGCCTCAGCCGGGGACTGTGCGTGAACTGGCACACCGAGTACATCCCTGCACCCCACAAATTTAGCTTGCCCACCCCCCCAACACAGGCCACGGGTCTTCAGCCATCTTTGGAATCATGTTGGCCCGTGGTACGTATTGTTGCAGTGGGTGTTCAAAAGCACACCTAGAAACCCTCCCACGGCCTCCTCCAGGGCTCTGCTGCTGTCGAATGTTCCAGAAACTGCCCTGAAGAACACTGCACACAGGATGGTGATCTCCTCATCCAAGAAGATGCACAGTGGTCGGGTGGGTGGCATCTCACGCGGGCCGGGGTGGGTGGGAACACCTGGATCTTTACCCAGCGTGAAAGGCCTCCCTTTGCATTATCTCAACCTGGCCTCGGCTCCATGGCTGGGTCAAGTGTGTGGCAGCGACTGTCTACGCTAGGTGCGGGTGCACACTGGGTTGCTGGGGCTGAGGCAAATGGCGAGCAGAAAACAAGAGACTCAGACTCCATTGTGGGTAGCTCAGTGGCAGACCTTTAGAAGTGCAGAGCAGAGGGACTTTCCCTTTCCCAAATAGGTAGCCATTGGAAGAAGGAAGAAAATTAATAAAAAAAAAAGCGACTACTAAATTGCTTACAGAAGTCAAACCAACACCACGAGCAAACTGATTGTCAGTCAGCACACCTAAGTGCTTCATATGAAATCACTTGATGAGGGGTTTTGAGAACTATTCTTGGTGAGAGCATACATCCCCGCACTTAGCTGCAAATTGGCCCTGCCCGGGAAACCCAGAATGGAGCAAAGAATACACTCAGACTCTGCTGTCCTTGTGGAACTCAGTCATAAGCACCTTCTAAGTACCTTCCAAAGCTTAGTCACCTGGGAGAAGATTCAAAGCCAGAGCCAAATCGTCTGAGGATGAATGACTGTGGCCAACAAGGGGTCATCAGTAACAAAGGAAACAAATCAAACCTCCACCGCCTGCGCCATCTGAACACCACACTCGCCTTTGTTGAGAGATTGCCCTGGTTAAGTCACACAACAGATTGAGGGATGGGGTGGGTTTCCTGCACCCAGGCTTTCTCTACTTACCATTCGTGTAGGGGTTGACGGTCTTTTTATTTGTCATTACCCGGGCAGTGGCGTTATTTACCTATGTGCACAGAAACACCAATGAGGACAGGAGCTAAGCCCAGCTTGATATTCTATTAGTTGCATGCATTATGACTGTGGTTATTTATTAAAAAACAAAAACAAACAAAACCGAAAAGTAAAAAAACAAAACAAAATAAAAACCAAAAAGCATTTGTTCAATTTTATTTTTTTTAAAAGGCAGTAGGTGCATAACAAAAATCATACATTTTTTTTTTTTTCGGGTTTAGAATTACATTTAGCTTCATCACCATTTCGACTGACAGATCATTTCAGTAAAGCAACGTCACCTCGTTTGTACAGTTTAATCAAGAGACAGTTACAAAAAAAAAAAAAAAAGAAAGAAAGAAAGAAAAAGAAAAAAGAAAAAGCAAATGAAAAGAGACTTTAGAGACCAAAAAGCATGCTTCTATTCTGTGGTGACACAGAATCGATCGGGGTGTTTTTTTAATTGTTGTTATTTTTATAAACAAACACACATAAATTAAGTTCACATGGAAGGACATGCAGTGGAGGAGAGAAGAGACAAGCTACATCAAAAGAAGAGACAAAGGAGTTTAAGCCGTGTTGCAACACTTGGGGAGGGGGGGTGGGAAGAAGCGACATCTAAGCATTCAACACTTGGAACAAGAGCTTCGCTCATAGCAAGGAGGGTGGGGGGGTCATTCAAGCTCCCGTGTCACAGCTAAGGAGAGGAACATGGGAGAGGGTGCATCGTGGTCACACGGAATGGAGTTTAACGACCTGAGTAGGATAATGATAATCCAACCAGTCAGAACCTCCCAGGCTAGCTTCGAACCGACACTCAAAATTACAAGGCGGACCGATATCCAAAAACAAAATAAATAAACTGAAAAGAAACAACAACAACAACAACCAAAAAAACCAAAAAAAAAAAAAAAAAAACAACCAAACAAGAGCACCAAGAAAACTTAACAAGTCGGAAAAAAAAAATTCACGTGGTAGGTAAGAGATATAGAGAGAGATATCAATGTAGAGAGAGAGAGATCAGCGCTAAGTACGGGAAGCGGCAGGTGGACAGCACTTACCATTCTGCGGTTTGTGTACATTTACCAGGGTTACTGAGAGTTTGGTGAGGGGCCTAGCGTTACCGTCCAAGGGAGGGGAGGGGAAATGAAGAGGCAAAATATGCAACATCTTACTCCAAAGACTAAAGCAATTTTTCAACTGGTATATAATTTTTTTTTTAAAAAAAAGGTTTCTTTTTTCTTGTTGTTTTAAAACAAATATGACCCTGTGGCGTTGCTGAAGGAGCTCTCTCAGTGGTACAAATAGAAGATCTGGTATCTCAGACTATGGTGACTATTGCTAGGTTTTGCAATGCACAGAGGCAAACTGAAAGCCCTGCACTGTGATTCTTGACATGACAAATAAATAAATAAACAAATAATGCAAAAATTCAATTTGGTTTCTTATATATATATATATATATATTTTAAATGAAAGATTTCATGGCAAAGCCTCTCACTTTTCCCCCACTTCGCTTTATTATTTATTTATTTATTTATTCTGCAACTCTTTCCGATGCTATGGCTTTCACCATGTGGATGAAATGATTCATTTGTAGACCACTGCAGATCTCTCTCCAAGCCTGACGTTAAGAGCGGAAAACCAAACAAACAAAACAAAATGACTGCCTTGCATCCGATTTGCTTTGCTCATTTTGGCTACTCCCTTTGGAACAACACCTTACTGCACCTGCCGCTTATCAAACGTGGAAAATAAAATGTAAAAAAGAAAAACCGAAACCACAGTAAACTTGACGATTCACCTTTTCTTTTTGTCTTACTTTTGTTATTCACCTTGCAGCGGTTAAAACAAAAAAAAAAAGACAACCACAAAAAAAAAAAAAAAAGAGTAAAACATAAAGTTAAATTTAAAAAACAGAGTAAGGCCAGTTTTCCTTTTTATATATATAAAATATATATATATATATAATGTGTATATTATATATATAAACAATGAGAAGGGGGTGGGGGAATCACATACAAGACACCAGTGATGCATCTACAGGAAACAAATGAGCATGGAGCAGACATTTATCAAAAAAGATGAAAGGGAAAATATTTTGAACATGCACCTCGATTTTACGGCCCTCTACCACGGTGCCGTGTAATTTCTCCCTCGCCCTGTCCGCATCGGCACTATTTTCGAAAGTTACGAAACCAAATCCCTGCATGCAGGAGTAAGAAGGGAAAACAACATGCACATTATTATTTCAATCAACAACCACGTGGTAACATTCTCTTGCTTTAATTTCTATGTCTTGTCCTGGCTTCCGTTCTGTAACATGCAAATTAGAGAAATTATAATAATACATAGTGCAATAATTAAACGACTAATGTCAACAAGATTGGTTGGTTTGGGTGTTTTTTTTTTTTTTTTTTCTGTCACCGGTTAGCTAATAACCTCTAAAGAATTCAACCAATGATATTCAAAATACCCCCTTTCTAAATGTCACTACCCAAACAGAAATATAAATCTAACCAAAAGAAAACAAGATCAAAATAAATGTACACTGTATTCACAGAAGAAACGAAAGAACAAGAAAAAGAAAGGAAAAAAAGGAAACCACTTTCTTGACATGCAAATTAAGAGATAAAATGAAATAAAAATGTGTGCACGAAATCCAACCATGAATGCCAAAATCCTCTAACATTGCCTAGAGAGTCATGCTTGTGTGGTTTTTAAGAACATTTCCTCTTCATGCAATCTTAGGGTTATTCAAATTTGTCCATTTTACAGCCTTTACTTCTCAAAAACAAAAGTTACAAGCCTAAAAAACAAAACAAAACAAAAGGAAAGACCTTTTTTTCCGTAATAAGTCTTAAACTCTTTGTGCTAATAAACAAAAAAAATCACATGAAATGAAGAGAAACAAACTTTCATTGACTTAGAATGCAAACAATTCAAGTAGCAGTTCTCATAATCCTTTTCCCCCATAATACCCTTCATGCGTCAGAATTCAGTGAGTTTCCTTAAACAACAAGAAGACATGGAAACATACTGCAGTGTTTTTAAGGTACTAGGCTGGTATTCATTTGTCATATCTGCAGGTAGGGAGACAAAATTCTTCAGGACTAGAAGGTGACTTAATTACTCTGAACATTTCCTGTTTTGCTAACATAATAAATAATACCCTTGAGTTCACCACAGGTACATTTTGCTTTTAATATTTCAGCCTCAAAAAAAAAAAACCAACCCCACTACATCTGACACAGTCATAATCCACCTCTGGTCTTCACTGACATGCACCTAAGAAGAGTGCAGAAAATATAACACATTATTTTTCAAAGCCTCTCAATGCGCAAGGACATCTTGTTCAGAAGCATATCCACCAACCATTTGAAACACCTGTACTGGAGATTTTGCTTGACTCCTTCTTTTGCTTTCCGGTACAAATTGGGTCAACTTTAGGAGTTCTGTCAACACTCTTATTTGCACTGGCCAACCTTACATAAAGGTGAGTAAACGTAAGCTTTGAGGTATTATGCCATTCCATTTTTAAATTATTTTTTAGGAATAAAATCTGCAGTAATTTACAATAGTGTAGCGGTCATGAGCAGCTAGTATTGGCCCTCCTCCTCCCTTCCCTCCCTCATTTCCTCCCCAATCTCGTAGACAGTCTCTATGACAACATGTAGAGATGTTGAGAGAGGGGTTGTACAGTGTGGGGGCTAATGGACAACTTTCCAGTTATTCTGTGGAGAACACAAGGTAAAGGAGATGTGTTCAGATGCAGATCGATGGTTCTTTGTTAAGACTGCCTATACAGAAAATAAACCAAGTTTCCTTCTTTTGGAGGATTGGACTGAAGTAGCTTGTACAATCACTCCCAAGAGAGAGGGTTTGTGATTAATATTACCCAACTAATTGGAATGAATCGATTGATTAATTAATTGAGGGATCCAACGAATACAAGCTCGCATTGTACACCACAGAAAGATCCCTGTTCTGTCTTTCTTGCTTATACTCCATGTCTAAATTGAGTACTCAAAAATATTTGCTGAGCAGTTTACGGGAACGGGGGCTGGGGGGGGGTTGAGGAGAGGGAGCAGCTGGGACGGCTCTTATTCTATTTGACCACCTCTTCTCCATCAGCAGATCCCGAACCTAGTCATACATCAGAAGGATCCGGAAGCATATTAAAACTTTAGATGCCTGAGCCCTGGTTCATTTCTACTGGGTAAGAATTTTTTTTAATGAAAAGTCCTAAATTGTTTGGTCTGTAAAATTTGTCTGTGTCAGAGAGGGATTAGGGGCGTGGTTCGAGTGGTAGAGCACCTGTCTAGCATGTTCCTGACTTCAAACCCTAGTACGACCAAAAAATAAAAAAATAAACAAAAGTTGGATAAACCTGCCTGTGGGAGCCAGAAATTCGATTTTTCACCACCTCTAGTTTCCAAGGGGTCTTGGTAATGAAGTGAATTTTATCTTGCTGGTTTTGAACGAGCAATCTATAGGGTAGAGAGAGCGTAAGCTCAGTCATTTGGAACTTCTATGTAGTGGTAAAGCAAAGATGATGTGTAGGTACCCCATTTGGAGTCTTTTTGTGTGTGTACATCAGTTGTGGGGCTTGAACTCAGGACTAGGGTGCTGTCTCTGTGCTCTTTTGCTCAAGGCTAACACTGTACCACTTTGAGCCACAGCACCACATCCGGTTTTTTGGTGGTTAATTGGAGATAAAAGTCTCAGGGAATTTCCTGCCTGGACTGACTTTGAACCACAATCCTCAGAACTCAGCCTCTTGTGTAGCTAGGATTATAGGCATGAGCCACTGGCATGTGGCTCCATTTTGTGTCTTAAATAAAGGTTCTAAGGCTCCCTAGGTGGATGAATGCACAGATCTCTCATTTCCTATGGAGGGAAAAGAAACCAAGTCTTGTGTCTCTTGATTTTTATGAGCAGAACTATTGATAAAGGATCCAAAGATTCATTTTCTCATAGAGTAAGCACACCGCATCTCCCTTCCATCCTGTGAGTGTTACACCTGCAGGGAGATGTTGCCCAGAAATTCATATTCATCATTCAACTACAGCTCATGTAACCTCTCCAGAACCCTCTGCCTCCTAACCATAGGTCTGCGTGGGGCAGGAGTCTTACCAGACTTTTATTTTTTAAATACTGTGGGACACAGCGCATTTCACAGCAGTTGTTCATCTGAATAATCTGCATCTCCCTGAGGATGGGAAACACCTGTGAATGAGTGACCTGAAATGTCACAAGCGTGTGTGAGCGTGCTGTGTGTGCACACGTGTGTGTGTGCGCATGCTGAATATTGAATTGCCTATTTCTCATATACATTAGGGCATGTATGTGCATCTGTGTGTATGCATCTCTACACTGAATAATACATTTGTTTGGTATATTAGAATATGTGTGTATATGTATGTCTCTATACTGAATTGTGTTTCTCAGCTATATTGAATGAAATTCTGAATTGTACATTTCTTAGGCATATTGGTGTATATGTATTGTGTGTGTCTCTATGCTGAGTCAAGTAATGCATTGTACATTGTTTCAGTATATTAGACTATATGTATATGTGTGTTTACTGAATTAAATACTGAATTCTATATTTCTTAGGTGTTTCAGCCAAGATCTAAATCTGGCTCTCTCCTCCAGATAAAGCACTTTGGAGATTACAACAACAAACCATTCTGAATCTCCTGAAAGGGAAAAGAAAATGAACGTTTAGGATCCTCCTATATCCCTTCCAAGCATGATTATGCAGATACAGCATTTCTCCTGCAAATGTAGTCTTCAGTGTGCTTATTGCCGCTACTCCATGAGATACTTGGGTTTTACAGTGCCAGAATACACACAGGCAGGGAAGTGGCCTCACTGGATTTGAGTAACATGACCAGAGAGAAGGAATACTCAGGTGGGAGAGAGAGAGAGGGGAGAAGGGAACATTGCCAAGGCCTCTTTTTTTTCTTCTTAGCATCAGCTACGCCCAATACACTGTTTTCCTTCCAGGGAGACCTGGATTGTTTTGTGGGTGCTGGAAGGAGAGACTTTTTAACAAGCAGGGCAGAGGTAGCAATGAAATGCCAGTGGGCACAAACATCTCTTTTACCTGCGGATAAAGGGTTCGGTATCTGTGCAAAAGAGAACAGTCCTTGTGTTGTGTTAAGGGCTGGCCCTGAGAGGGTTGTTACAATGCAGATTCCTGGGCCCACGTTCAAAGTTTCTGATTCAGTAGATCTGGGCGGAGCTGCAGAGTGTGTCTTTTGAACAGCTTCCGGGTCCTGCTGAGGCTGCTACTTTGGGACCCCTCCATCCCCTTCTAAAGACAACCCCTGATTGACAGCATGCGTTGAAAGCTTTGTCTTCTTTTTCCAATGTATTATCTCTCTCTAAAAGCCCCCAACTTTCCTTAGCTCTGTTAAACTCTAGGAAAATCTCTATCTCCATCTGTCTTTTTGATATCCTAGCACAATATGAACTCAATGGCCACAAGTGCCCTGCAAAAAGAGCATGAGAGAACACACTCATAAAGTTCAATTCAAAAGGTTGGTGAATATGACCTTTTCCTCCCCTACCACCCAGAGAAAGAACTGCACTTGATTAATACAGAGTCATCCACATATTTACCTGCTCGTGAGACTAGCAACTCACTTTTTAAATGTAAAGAACATAATTATCACTGAAAGACAACAGAAACGTAACAACAGTATCGTGATTATTTTAAAGCACGGTTCATTTTTCCCCCCTCTCTGGAAATTTGAGAGATGCATACAATCCATATAAGACAGCCACTTTCAATCACCCCTTTACACGTGTTCTCCGTGGAGCCCAACACATCTCTCCCGCCATTTTGGAAATCCCGTGGTGGGAGGGGGGGGGGCTTGTCTTCACAGCCGTCTGATTAAAGCAGTGCAGTTGTTTCCCTTATTTACAACAAACATGTTTACAACAAGCCAAGGGATTCTGAGGTGGATTAAGTCACTTACCTTGGAGCCTCGCTCATTAAAAATAATTTCAACATCTAAGATTTTACCAAATTGCTGCAAAGAAATAGAAATATTTTGTGAGCAAAGAGGAGGGGGGGGGGAACAGCAAATAAGACATAATGATGAATACTGTTATTCCTCCCTTGTTTAATATTAAGAAGATACGTTTCATATCGTTCCATGGTTAAATAATTTGCTTGAAACGAGATAGAACAGCCATATGGGCTATGTTCTGATTATGACATCTCCCACCAGGATGAGATATACTGTCGCAGTCTGTTAATTCCATGTGCCATTCGTGTGTGTGTGTGTGTGTGTGTGTGTGTGTGTGTGTGTGTGTGTGTGATCACTTTCCCAGACACTGAGCAGCAGAGTTTAAAAATGGCACATCACTACTTAGATAATGATTCACCTAGACTTCCCCACCAGCCCCTAGGAGAAACACTTTCAATGAGGTTAAGATTGGGCTAATAAAATATCCAATCAGAACAGCATGTGGTGGGTTTGGGCTCCTCACTCACAGATCACATACAGGAGACAAGTAAAATTCCAACATAAGATCAACCTCTGTGACCCAGGTACCCATGAGCATTGAGACCCTCTGGGGCTCTGAGCAACTCAGGCTAACATATGGGAAACCTCTGTACAATGAAACAAATGTCTTTTTGAACCATTAACCAAACTTGACTCTATGAAAGTTCTAGGCACCAATTTTCGGCCTTCAAATAAATTGGGCAGCCAAACAAAATGGAGCTACCCATTTCAGACTTTCTAGAACGAGTACTCTCCACACGTGACGTAGGACATCTTTGTATTTACGATTTTTTGTCGGGCTGGAATTCAGGTTTGGTGTGTGTGTGTTTCCACATGCACGTGAAAAAGAGAAGTGAACGCTGAAGTAAGGGAGGAGGTAGAGGAAGATGCGCACTGCTAGCTCGTGTGATGGCCGGAAGTGAGGGGTGCCGGGAGCTCTCTTATGATGGGTGGATGCTCATCTATTCTTTGGTAAAGAGAACAGTCTTTCTTAGGGCATTTTCAGTGCCAAGTGTGGGAGGGGCTGAGAGGAACACAAAACCCATTCCACGTCGAACAAGAAGACTTCCCAAATGTGGGAAATGAAAGATTTCCTCTGCAAAGGTGAACTTGACTTCAGAGTAAAGAATCCTTCAGCCTCCTGGGCCCCTCCCAAAGCAGTAATTTCTACACAACTGCCTGAGACGACACAGTTAACAGAGATGCTAAGGTATTTATTTGAGGCGTTAACAGCCTGGGAACACATATATTTATGAACAGAGAGATGCCTGAAAAAGACTTCTTCCAAAACCATGAAACAAATGCCATCGATGGAACACTTGCTATGCAGCCAACACACACACACACACACACACACACACACACACACACACACACACACACACACACACACACACACACACACACACACACACACACACACACACACACACACACACTTCCTGGAAAAATAAGATCTGGCCAAGATAGAAGCGATCAAAAAGTAATCTTAGCATGTGTCATTCCCTAAATGAAAGCATCACACCATCTGCCCTGGCACCATCTTCCAGGCTTGCTTCTTTGGCAGTTGCCTTTGGGTGGGTGATTCTCAGAGCCAGTAGAACGAGCTGGAAGAAAAATGCTGATGTGAACCCTCTTTGCAGAGTGAGTTGCGTGCTATATTTATAGTATCAACAGTTTAATTGGGAAGTTTGGCGCTAATGATATAAACACAGCTGGCACGTTTTCAATTCGCATAGACACGACTCATTCCCAGACATCACTAGCATTTGTTTGCTCAACGTAGTGCTGGGGAGCCTTCAACCACATTGCACACACACCCCTCCGTGGCTGTATCCACAGCGAGATCTAGAAGCTCTGAGGCTATGTTTTTGAGCAAATATGTGACCCAGGTGGTTCTAGAAATTCTCGGATCAAACAATCTTTCTCTGGAAAATTGTTTAACAGATACAACATCAAACATCCAAAGTACACGTTAGTTCAAAGGCTGCATACGGAGCGTTCTGGCTTTTTATAGGCCCTGCGTTAATGTAGACATGGGAGGCACGGTGCCACATCCCCAAATGGCTTTACTATCCATGACACCGGGGGGGGGGGGGGGATGGGGGAGAGAGTGCAACTTTGCTTTGCCAGAGAAAGCACAAAGAAGCCGGTGATGATGTTGTGGTGCTGGGGATTGAACTTAGTTCATCCATGCTAGGCAAAGCATTCTAGACCCTGGCCCTTCATCTTTACTCTTTAGTTTGCCCATTAGAAACGATCATCATTTTTGTGCACGTGCTAACAACTGTGTGACCCATTTTTTTTTGGGGGGGGTGGCACTTATGAAAGACTTAAAGATTATTTTCTTTCCAGAGAGACCAAAGTCTTGAGCTCTGGTTTGGATTTTGTTTCTGTGTTTTTTTTTTGGTGGGAGGGGGAGACTTAAGACTGGTGCTCTACTGATTTAACCACACATCCAGTCTGGCATTTTGCTGGTTAACTGAAGAGCATCTTAGGCTTTTCTACCCGGGCTGGCTTTCGACTGTGATCCTCAGATCTTAGCCTCCTGAGGAGCTAGGATTACAGGCGTGAGCCCCTAGAACACAGCAGAGGGTCTCTACCTTGATCACAAAAGCAAGCCTATGGCATCAAGAAAGGTATTTTGCAAACTGGAGACTTGAGAACGATTCTGTGTGTTGTAGCTCAGAGGTGCATGGGTCAGAGCTCAGTTCTCTCACCTCAGACCCAACAAACATGCATGCAGCCATAGGTGAAAGCAACCTAAGCATTAAGGTCCAGTAAGTATTCTAATTCAGAATTGGAACACTGCAATCCACTGGATGGAAATCCCCACCCTGCTCTCGTCGGGTTGTTCAATGAGAGAGGGAGGAGGAAGGGTGGAAGAGGATGGATGTGGTCACAGTGGCATGTGTGATACATGCAGCTAGAGCCAGGCATGCGCTTGACATCGCTTCAGAAGTGGGCCGCGGAGGATGGGTCTCATCATCCATAGTGAGCACGAATTGAAACATCACAATGAATGCCCCTTCTATAACTAATGAATGACTCATACATCCACAAACAAGTTCATTTGGTAAGGACTCAGTGCTCACGGCTGGTCCCTCGCTGAGCTGATAACAGATCTCAAGAGGCATGGGATGAACTGACCTACCCTGTAAAAGCCTTTGGAATCAATGCCTTGAATAATACAATAGACCCATTAGCTCACATCCTCACTGGTACTTTCTCTAAAGGCTCTGGCTTCTGCTTTGGATATTGTAGCTACTGAACTTCTTACCCCGGGGAATGTTCCATTATGAAAGCAAGCAAACAAACGATGACAACAACAAAACCTACAGTGAACGACGAGATTTAATGTCAAACGTTGAGACAAGTATATCTGAAAGAAAGAGGATGGACATGAAAGATGGAAGACAAATCACCAAGGATTCCAAGCTCAATGAATTAAACCACTGACAACAATGCCAACAACAGACCATAAGGCCAACCTACAGCATACACCCTATCATCCTAGCTACCCAAAAGGCAGAGCTAAGAGGATCATGGTCCCAGGCCAGCTAGGCAAAACACAAGAGCCTAGCTGAAAAACAGAAGTAAAGTAAAAAGACTGAATGTGAGAGGGACATGGAGTAGCAGGCAGGGAGCTCTGATTTCAATCCTCAGTACCCCTAAGATAGACAGACAGACAGACAGATAGACAGACAGACAGACAGACAGACAGACAGACAGACAGATAGAGGATGAATGGATAAGTAGATGGATTTATTGATGGGTTGATGATAGATAAATGGACATATGACAAATGATAGATGATTGATAGGTAGATGACAAATAAATAGATAATATAGATAAGACCATGTCAAGCGATGTATCAATGGTTTCTGAACTTGACAGGAATACTGCAAACTCTTAGGAAATTTGAAAAAGAAGTCTGTTTGGGGGCCTCGGTTTCATTTTTGACTTCAAAATCCCCAACACCTGTATTGAACAAAGAAGAAGAACGGAAAAACAATTCAGAGACCTTCGTGAGTGTTTTATTTTTCTGTAACTATCTTCAACAATGCCAAAAGGTGAGGGCAAAGACAGAAGGCGGAAGCTCACTGAGGAGAGAGTGCTCATGTCTGAAGGGTCTGGGGCAGAGCAAGTGAGGATGCAGATGCGCTTCTGTGCAGTAAGTATGATGACTCAAAAGAAGCAGCGAAGTGAGATTCCCGGGACTCAGGATGGGAGGCCAGTCAGGATGCTGCAAAGGCCCGTCAGTGAATTCATGCTGCTAAATGGCTTTGTGAGCAATAGTTGGCTGGGAAGCTCAGATTCTTAGGGGATAAATCATAATTCTTTCCTTCAGAATGCTGGTTGTAGGCTAAGTTAGGCCTTGGAGTGATCGTAAGTGGTCTATAAAACCATATGTACCTGGCAGTTTTTATTGTCATACAAAGTCCTGCATACTCTTCCCTGCATACTGTGTGTGTGTGTGCGCACACGTGCAAAAGTCCTACAGCTTAAACTCAGGGTCTGGGTGCTGTCTCTGAGCTTTATTTGCTCAAGGCTAGCTCTCTACCACTTGAGCCATGGCTCTCCTTCTGGAATATTTTGGAGAATTGAAAGAATCTCATGAACTTTCCTGTCCAGGCTGGCTCCAAACCATGATCCTCAGATCTCAGCCTCCTGAGTAGCTAGGATGACAGGCTTGTGAAGCCCAGTGTCACCTACTTTTTTGAACGGGCACAGATGCTGTTTGTGATGAACAGAAGTGATAGTGTGCTTGAATGTACACCGTATCTCCTTCATTGACAGATACTAAGAGAATCTATCTTATTGTCAAATCAATACCTTATCATCTGCTTGGGAATTTTCACTTAAAAAAATAAAGTGGCTCTCTAAGGAGATTCTGATCCACGTTTGATAAAGTGTAGTAGGGACACCTGGGTGTCTCCCTCCTCTGTCTCTTTCGTTCTGTCTTCCTATCTCTCTGTCTCTCCTCGTATGTTATCTGTTATCTGCCGTAGCTACCCCTAAAAGGAGAGAGAAGTTTAGATATTAATGTAAGCTCTTCTCTGTGATCTCCAGCAGTGAATATTCTGCATTACTTTTCTGACTTACCACGGTAGCCTCGGGTGAATTTCAAGATAACGAAGACCACCAGGCAGGAAAAGGCACCCTTCAGGGTAGAAACTAGGGTTGGCTGCATGCATGGTATCAGTGAAAGAGCACCAGGCTGGTTATTAAGAGGATCAAGTTCAAAGTCAACATTACAGTGACACTTGATGAGAAGAGATAGACTGAATAGCAAGACATTGTCCTGACCTGACATGGCGAGAAGAATATAATTCCTCGGCTGGCCATCATTCAAACCTAGTCTCAGTGCTTTGCACACACTTAACCTTGACTCTCACTCTGAATGCTCTGCACTTTTCAAAGTCATCTTTGACCTGAAAGTGCCTGGGGGTATCTCTGTTCTGCAAGAGTTAGAGGGCTCAACTCAAGGTTATTACCAAATGAGTGAGATAAAAGTGCAGAGGCTGACCTTTTCTACAGAAATGTCAGCACGCAAGCCTGGGTATCTTCAATATTAGGAGGCTGGCTCCGAGTTTGTGTCAGATGCATACTTGATAAGCATCGTGGGCGTTAAAGAAATAAAAGGTGTCAGCTAACCCCCAAATCCCAGAGCCCAGAAGAAGCAGATGGCTCACTCATGCACTGGAGAGCCGCGCTGGGCTTCAGGAGATATGGAGAAAGCATTCATCTCCTTTTGTCACATCTGCATCTCAGAACGGTGTCTCCAAACAGCCCGCCCTAAGTCAGACGCTAAGGATGTGCCTCCCACAGATGCTCGCTTACTAGGATGGACTAGATCTGCAGACAAAGGGACGAAAGATCTCAGAGCCCCATGATTGCTAGGGACTTGGCGTGGTGTGGAGACCAAAGAAGCAGCAGATTCCTCTCTTTCCCTGGGAGGATGGGAATGCAGATGTCTTTTGGAAGAACAAAACCAGGGTCATGCCAACCTGGGAGGAAGCAGGCTGTTGGCACCTGGGCTGTTCTGGGCTTCAGGAACGGGCCTGGGCCAGGCCGCTCCTCCGTCATGGTGTTCACATCATAGCACCTGTGTCCTGCGATGCCTCGGAACCTTCCGGCACTGACTGCAGAGTGGGGGGGAGGGGCAAAAATGTGCATGGCCAGAAATGCCCTCTGACCTACGAAGCAATCTGTAGAGTTTTGTTGCTGTTCTAGGGGTGCTTTGTGTTTTTCTGCTATGCTTCATGCAGAAGCAGTCTCTCACTATGGCTGTCAGACACAGTGCCTGGGAAAGAGGCTGGAGTGGAGGAATATGGAGGGGCTGAGCGAGCAACAACTCCCAGGGTGTATTTCAGCTGCGACCTGGGGAGTCCCCACCCCACTGGTTTTGATCATCATTTGGATTTGGCAACGAGTCATCTAGGAGTTTATTTTGCCACTCGCCATTCAAATCAACTTCCTAGAAGATGTCCATTTGGGAACACAGAAACCCAGGAGGCCTTATTACCAGATTACCATAAAGAAGCCCTGCCGACAAAACGTCCACAGACGCGACAGGAACATTTCACCTTTGACGACGTGGCTTCCGAGGCAGGGAGGCTCTGAAGGGAGAGGCTGTACTTACACCAAACATTTGTCGGAGGTCAGGATCTCGGAACCGGAAGGGGATGTTGGACACATGCAGCCTCTTGGGCTGAGACTTGTTTTCCGTGTTTTCGGAAGGTTGTGTCTGAGGCTGACCGTCTGTCGGTACGGCATCGTCTGTCTGCTAAAGGAACAAGAAGAAAGCAGAGAGGCTCTTAGTCCACGCCAAGACGCACCTTTGCTGCCCCGAGAAAGAGAAAATGCCTGAAGAAAAAGATAAAGGGAAGAAACGAAAGAGCCATTTCCTTTACTCAACAATATTTGTTTCCCCACCTCTGCAGCATGAGTGTACAACCCGGGGCTGAGATGTCATGGTAAACAGCGTAGGCAGAAATCAGTGCCCTGTAGACACGCTAAAAATTCCACAGGAAAGCATGAGAGAGGAAAGGTGTGGAGAAGGCAGTCATGATATTCCATGTACATGCTAGGAAACTAGGGAAATGGAGGGGAAGGGAGGGCTTGGGGAGATGGGGGTGGGGAAGAGTGATGGAAGGGGTAGCTTTGATCAAGATGCATTGTATTGTTGAATTGTAACCCCTCTGACAACTACTTAAAAAAGAATCAACATACAATCTAAAAAACCCACCATAAATAAACGCAGAGTTGAAAGTCAACAATGATAAGAATCGTGAAGACCAATAAACCCAAGGAAGAGGTCTAGAAGGTGCTGGGAAGTGAAAAACTCAGCTACAAGGAAGCAATGACTCGGAACTGGTAGCTCATGTCTGTAATCTTAGCGGCTCAGGAGGCTGAGATCTGAGGATCTGGTTGTCTACCAGCCCTGGTAGACAAATCAGAGAGACTCCTATCTCCAATTAACAAGCCAAAAGCTGACGTGGAGGTACGGCTCAAGGGGTAGCATGCTAGCCTTGAGCAATAAAGCAAAGTGAGGAATTTAGGACCTGAGTGTTAGGACCTGAGTTCAAGCCTTTGTACACACACACACACACACACACACATATGCACACACACAGATTTATTAGAGTTAAAATAGTACAGTTCTTAGTCAACGCTGCTCAGATTCTTCAGATATGTATACATCATTACTGAGCCTATACAAATAATAGTACTAACAACAGTTACAAAAAAGCTCTGAAAAGGCCCTATGGGGTTCTGTAGTTCAAGGACTCAGCTGATTGGCTTAACTTTTGGAAGGGTTTTAAACTTAGTTTCTTAATTGTGCAGATCCGTCCTGTCCACCCCTGTTGACTGCATTTGGCAGTTTAAATTTAAATGGATTAAAATTTAATTATGTGTAAAATTTGCTTATGTGCATTAGCTTGCATTTCAAGTGTGTGATAGCCACAAGTTAGTGCTTCTGTATTTGACTGCATGGATCTAGAATATTTCTATCTCTGCAGTAAACTTCTGCTGGGCCACATTGGTGTGGCAGATTGGAGGTTATTATCAGCGTCTTGCATGACCCTGTCCTGCCCTCCCCCACACAGAAGAAGCCTTGTCACTGTACCTGCACTGACACCAATCTCTAGCACTAGCTGTCTCTAAATAGGCAGGAACAAGGAGGAAGGTCACCAACCCATAGAGGCTACCATCTTGGAAATACTTCCTTTCTTCAGACCTTTTCTTTGTAATTCATCCACCCTGCCTCTAGGTGACAGTAGATATGCCAGCCTGGTCAGATTCCTGCTGCTTTGAAACAAAGATGGCGTCCGTGCCCAAGCCTATCAGGTTCATGAACAACAACAAGAATCATCCTCACTTACTTATAAGCACTTTAGAAGCACATAACGGAGACCAAACTATCAAGGCAGGCAGCCAGGTGTAAAATAATACAACCTTAGAGGAGACAGTCTTACCAAGTGAAACAAAAAAGCAACACCCCGATTACAGGGCACAATTAGCAGTTTTCTCATCACCCTTTGCATGTGCTGGAAGATTTCCTTTGCATTTTTCAACACACCCAGAATTGCATTTGGGAGTCTGGACCGCCCCCAGTGGTTCACACACCCTTCTTGCGATATTAGAAACCCAGTTCTGAGGACCTCCTCAGCGTTCAAGTACAATATTGCTATGACACCTCTCCTGCCATGTTTTTGCTGACACTGAGGAGTGAGCAGGAAGAAGAACCTTCTTCTAGAAGGTTCCTACTTCCCGGGTGAGTGGAAGAGGTAGCAAAAGACAGTGGCGATGCCCGCAGGTAGTCTTTGTGACACCGGTAAGACAAATGAATCAGAGAGGGACAAGCAGCCTCAGGTCCCAGGTAAAAAGTGCAAACTGGGTGCTCCAAGGCAAACCAGCTCTGGGGATTAGGTCTTAGGCAAAAGGCTGGGAATAACAGAGAAGGCTGGTGTGTGCCAAGAGAACAAAGCATGCACGAAGAGGCTGAGATGCAAGATGGCAATCCAGGGCAGTCTGTGTAGACAGCAGGGTTGACAGTCAGAGGGGACATCAGGAACTATGGGAAGGAGAATAGACTACAGAAATGTGGGTGTTGGGGAGGGGAGGGCCGTGGATGCAAAACCAGAGAGTGACCTTCCAAGAAGCTGTGAGGAGCCACAAGTTATGACTGGCGTGGAACACAATGTTACATGTCTGTTAAGTGACTGGCTGATGTGCTACATGAATGAATGAATGAATGAATGAATGGATTATTGAATGAGTAAATAGCAATCCAGCAACCTTCGATGACACTGGAGGAGCACTGTAATCCTGAGATCTAAACAGAACAGAGACTGTGTTTTCCTTCGCTGTGAGAACAGGTTATCACAGCTAACACACACCCTGCGTTTTGACAGCATGTCACTCCTCATTGCCTCTGGTACCTGACCAGGAGGCTGTAATTTGCATAAGCAATAGCTAAGACCCTGAGCTTCCTGCTCATTTTTCTAGACTGCGAAAAGTTGCTGCTTGAATGCAAAAAAATTAAAACAAGGTCTTCCTGATTCCAAGAAAGGGACTTAGATTTGGATTTGTGTACAACTGTGGAATGTTTCAGTTTAATAATAAACCTAATTAGGAATTACAGAGATTATGATTAAACGTATTAAGTGATTAATAGCATTATGCCACTCACGTGAAAATTAAAATTAATCATCTCCAGTAAAACAGGACTTTGGAGAAATCTTTGAGTTGTTTCTTCTGATATATAATGCTTAATTAATCATTCTGTAGTATGTACATTTATACACAAACATCCACAAACAACTGTTATACATATATAGCTGTAAAAACACAGAACATTCTCAAACAGTTTCAGGATGCTGAGCCTTCACATGGATAGACAAGAGGACAAACGGCAGCCTAAATGGATTGAGAGGGATAGAAAAATGAATCTTTCAAACTAAGCATGCTTGTGCGTGAGGCTGTTTGAAGAACCAGGGTTACTGAATCACATAAGTCCTGCATATGAGCTCACCTCCACCAAGTACTCATTTCAGGCAAGTCAATTTACCCACTCTGAACCTCAGTTTACTTATTTGTAAAGAACAATGATGGCAGAAACTCTATAACCTTGGGAGTAGGATCAGATGTAGCAAGAAATATATACTGTCCGGTGGTTACCACAGAGCCATGAACCAGAGGAGTTTAGAATCATTAGTTCTTCTTACAAATGTCATTTCTTTCTATTACCATTTCCCTGGGGGTTTTCTGGGGGAAAACATATTCCAAATAGACTTGTGTCTGTAAGGCCTCGGCTACAGGTTGGATCTGGAATGTTCTGTTGCCGGCCTTGGTTGCTTTGAGCTGTGGTAGAACTTCGAAGAGGAAGGTTGACTGGTGGGAAGTGAGATCATTGGAAATCCTTCTCCAAAGGGTCTCCCCCATTTTCCTTTCTCTCTTTGCTTCCTGGCCACCATGAGGTAAACAGATCTCATCATCATCTCCCAGCCACCTCTTTATAAATTAAGAATCCCAGGTTTTGTGTTACCTTGGCAGGAAGCTAGCTGTCTCTTATTTTTGTCTCCTGACAGATTATCATAAATTGGGGGGCTTAAAAAAAAAGAAAGCCAAAACCCAAACCAGAACTTTCTCTACTCAACAGTTATGGAGGCAAAGGTCCACGACGACCACAAAACCTGAACTGTCATGCCAGTGACCGGAAACTACAGAAAATTCCTTAGTTGCCTCTGGTAGCTGCCTCTGATGGTTCTGGGTCTCCTTTGCCTTGGCAGGAATGACTTGTCTCTGATCTGAGACCCTCTCTCCCTGTGACCGAATTCCTGGGGTGTGTCTGATTCAAATGTGCCTCTAGTTTCTCTTCTCCTTAGGAGACCAAGTCATTATATTTAGCGCTCATCCTAAACTCAGGATCATCTTGACTCATGATACTTAACTACATCTTCAGTGAAATTTTATCAAACCAAACAGGTCACGTTCACTAGTTCACTAATGGTTCCTATGGGTTGGAAAACAGACATGGTTTTGGGAACCACCCATCTAATCCTCTATAATCAAAACACCAGAAGCTCATGTGGTACCAGTTATCAAAGAGTGTCTGACCTCCAACCCAACTGGCTTCAGGAACACAACCACTAGAAGTAGGTAAAATGTCCCACCCCGAGCTGGCCCAAGATCTTATTTGTCCACAGAAACTCCTGTAGTAAGAGTCTAGGAACACAGAGGTGATTGAATCTTCTCACCTTCCTCAGCCCAGGCTTGGTCATTTTGCCTTTCTACATTTGGCCATGAGCACAGAGTAGCTGATAGCTCTAAGCTGGGCTAGAAAGCTCTTCCCCAGCTTCCAGAAAGAAATGTCTCTCATATTCCACATCTGTCTTTGCAAATTCACAAGGTGATCGGTGGTGATCATCATTATTTTGGGCAGCGTTAATAACTATTTGCTTTTGCTCTCCAGTTCTCAGGCCCTTAGATATGAGCAGCTCTGGGATGCAGCCTTCCCATTAGGCGGGGAAGCCCATGGGGTCCCGTGGTAACGGAGGCTCCATTAACCCCAAGGGGCTCCTTCCCAGGCAGCACTGGGCAGAGATTTTCAATAAGCTCATTAAGACCCCAATGGCAGCTCCTATGCCAGCCTACTGTGATGGCCTTATTAGGAGGCGGGGTGTTTGCTGCAGCATTTTTCTTAATAAACAAACTCCCCAGGGGTAGCGGCCCAGGTTATAAATGTTAAGAAAAACACCACCGGCACTTTAATCTCTTGAA